AAAAAAAAATAAAGTAATACATGTTTATAAAATTAAAATAATAACACTTTCATAAACATTAATAAAATAATGTTAAAAAATATAATTATCATAATATATTTTGTTATTATTATTTATTATTATAAATATTATTATTATTATCATTATTATTAATATTATTATTATTTATTATAATTAGTATCATTATTATTTATTATGATTCTTATTATTTTTTTAATATTTATTATTATTATTATCATTATTTATTATTTTTTAATAAATTATACCTATTAATATAATTTTATTGTAATTATTATTATTTACAATAAATAATATTCTACTCATTTTTAATCCAAAGGTAAAAATGTAAATTACATATTCATTTATTAAATTTTTAATTTTTATTTATCACATTAATCAATTTCTACACAAATTCTCATAAATTTTTCACTCACTTTCTAGTATCTTTTCCTTAATCCAAACAACCTCACTTTCCACTTTCTTTCTCTTCAAATCTTTCTTTTTCCACTCTCCCAGATCCAGCTTTCAATCCAAACACAACCTTAGAGTAGACTACACAACCAATGACCAATGGGTAGAAGAGACAATAATGATGATCATCTTCATACCGATAATGATGACGATCTTCACACAATTATGATGACGACGACCAAGAGTTAGAGTTTGAAGATGAAGAATCAGCAAAGGCAGAGAAATGGAAAGAACATTACTCATCAAGGCAAAGGATTCTCTTTGTTGGAGAGGGTGACTTTTCATTCTCTCTTTCTTTGGCAAAGGCTTTTGGTTCTGCCCACAACCTCGTTGCCACTTCTCTTGATTCCTACGGTCTGCCCCATCAAATCAAGTTTCCATTGTTCCCTCTCTTTTTCCGCATGGTCATGGAAAGATTCAAACTTGGACCCTTTTCATGGTCTTTTGTTTTGTTTTGGCAGATAACATTGGGAAGAAGTACAGTAATGGATTGAATAATGTGATGGAGCTTGAAGAAAGAGGTTGCCTTGTCCTTCACGGTGTTGATGCAATTTAAATGAGTCAGCATTTTTTTCTCAAGGCTTAGAGGTTCAATCGCATTGTCTATAACTTCACTCGTGTTGGCTTTCTATGCCCAGAGAACTATCTCCTTGATTGCACCTTCATGGTTTACACCTACTCAACCAAGTGAACCCTTAGATTTTCCTTTCAAAACAGTGAAGTTTTGGTTTTGGAACTGATGCTTGACCTTGATCGTCATGTAGTTGTGCTTAACTTTGATACATTTAAGATGACAAAGGAGAATTTAGTGATGCATGCTTCTTGTTTGGTACCGTGGCATGGACAATGTAATTATGTAAACATGCAAACGTTTTGTTCTGTTTTTTCTTTGAAGTAGAATTTGTTCTTCATCTATTTACTTATTTAGCCAGTGCATGGTTACTGCAGGTTGAAAAAAAGGTTGCTGAAGGGAATTTTAGCAAATGCCAAAGCTTAGATTCATGTAACACACAAAAAGGGTGATCCATACAACAAATGGGATCTGGTAAAGAAGGCAGAAAAGAGAGGGCTGGCCTTGCAACAAGTTGTTCCATTCTCCAAATATGACTATCCTGATTATGGCAACAAGAGAGCCAATGGAAAATTATCTGATGCATCTTTCCTTGTTGGAGAAGCTAGCACTTACAAGTTCAAGCTCCAAACATCTAACACCTATAATAACTGATAAGAATTCTTAGTGTTGGGTTTTATTTGGAAGACCAAAGCCATTCTAAAAACCCTTTCTTCCCCCAAAACTTTTATGAATCAAATACATGATGCCAATCTTGGATTTGCATCTTTCTGTGGGGGTGGCAATGTTTTGTAAATATGGATGATTGGATCTTAGTATGTTATTTTTCTAGTTATTTATTTTTTTTATTTTTTTATTTTAGTTCTTCATTGCAAACGTACTCAACTTCACTGTCAATGATTTGAATAGGCTGTAGTCTCTTTTATTTGACCCATGAACGCAGGCAAGAAAAAATATTGTTTTTTATTTCATTCCATCTATATCTAAACAATGAAATGAGAGTTTTATTACATTATATTCTATTCTAGTTTAATGTAATTCATTTTATTCAATCTGTCTTCGTCAATCTAAAGTGGACGGGAGTCTTGTTTAAATCTCTAAAATTTAATCCAATACTCCTCCTGTATTTTTTACAATGATCTGAGGGGGAAAAAAAAAAAAAGCAGACCTTTTGCTTTTTTTGTTAAAAAAAATGACTTGTTTGGTGTTGGCCTAATATTAAATCGACTTCAAATAAAACAGATGAAATAGATCCTGCACCAGGGAAAGTATGTTGTGGAGATGGATGTTGCTCCTAAGTATCACAAATTGAAGCAGACCTCCTATAAGTTCTTCAGTCCTAAATACGTTTCTCTTCACCACGTAGATGCATAACTAATGTCATGCTAAATAATTACACAGGAATCCAAAAATTTGAATATGTGCATGCCTAGAAGTTTGAACTTTGAAGTATTATTGATATACAAAATGTAATCAAAGTTTTTCTTTGAATATGACTATTTCCCCAAGAAATTTCAATTAAAAAATCACTTGCAGATCCCTTCATGCATCGACCATCCAAGGAATTTTCAAAGAGCCATGCGTTACAGAATTGTTTCATAAGATGAATAAAAATTAGAAAGTGTTTATAGTGAAAAGTAAAAGCTTATCGATCCATAGATTGAATAAAAGTATCCTATAAACTTGACATATTTAAAATAAATGATAGATAGAAACTAAATTCCAACACGATATGAATTCAGTGCTTCTGCTAGAAATGCATTCAATTATGTTCCGAGTTAAAAAATCATATTCTGATTCATTGGCATCACCAGAACAAATATAAAATAAATATGTTTAATATTCAATACACAGTGATAGTGTTTATACTGTCTCTTATATGATACAATGACTTCATCGTATGTTGGGGTACCAACCATGAATCTTTTGAATATTTCTTAGGCTAGATAGTATATCAGCTATTCTAGTTCTAACAGTCTCAGAAGAGGGGACCATGAAAAACCCACTTATGAAACCTATATCACATTGAAAGAAAAAAAGTCCCATGTAAAATCATAACTAACACTAGAATCCACAACTGGTGTGTTGCATGTGATGTAGATGAATCTGCTCCATCATCTGTAACCCCTACAAGGAAAAGACAACGGCAACTGACGGATCTGGGAAAGTAACCATACCAAGCCCATAGTGCAGTCTGCAACACTACAAGCTAGTCTCATATGGTTTACTACATTGGTCAAATCACTTGAAGGGTTTGCCACACAGCATCTAGATGGAAGATACTCAACATTTCTAGCATTTTTCAACTCCTTGTTTCCAAGTAAAAGGTTTAATGAATACTTGGGAAGTTCTGAGGACTGATAGTCTGATAGGCATCTGCATTGCAAGGATCACTAGTTTTTTATAACCAACAAGATTTGCTTTGACTGAAGACTGTTGTATATTGAGTATTGCAGGCATGACCAAGTTCTCAATTTGACCATTATAACATGAAAGAAAGGGCTCATTTCCAACAGTGATATACCTGCAATATAAGTATAAAGACTAGAAAAAATCTATGTATTGGCATGGAGGCAATGGTCATAGAAAAGTTATAATAAACATACACTAACTTCCTTTTCCATATCTTTTTTCATACAAATCAGAGAACAGTTTCCACCAAGGAGCTTGAGCTTGAAATCTGCATCATCAAAACAATGAAGTAAATCATACATTTTCCTTTTTTCTTTCGTATGGTATGAAAAGCATGATATATCATAATTAAGATGATAAGTTGATAAACTTGTTTTGTTAGCTTTTGAAAATTGTGTCTGATTGAATGAGTGATTAGCCTGCATGACTCCCCTTATGCCAAGTAAAAAGGTTGCCAATTCTTTTTGACAAGCTTCTTAGATGGCATTCAGGGAGCCAGGCAAGCCCTTCATTTCATACAAATCAGAGTAGATGTAGCAGTTTCCACCAAGGAGCTTGAGCTGAATTGACAAGAATCTGCATCATAAAAAACCAAAAAGTTTAAGCATACAATTAAACACACCTACACCGGCTAAAAACTAGCCAAAACTGACACATTATCAAGCACTAGCAACATACACTCACTCGCATGTGTGTGTGTGATTAGATAAGCCATGGAAAAGGAATAGTACCATTTGACAGCAAAATCAAGAGCTACATACCTTCAATTATAGAGGGACAGATAGAGTAATAGGAGGCCAACACTAATCTACTTCTTTTGCTGACTACATAAATAATTGACTTTTCTCTAGTGACTCTAAAGAGCTTCATATGAGTCTCTTTAGTTTCTTGTGTTTTTTTTGCTTCTGGAGCCAATGAACAAGGGGTATTTAAAGAGACATAAGTGGGGAGAGACAGGAGAAAATCCATGAAAGAAGAGGGGCAATTGGCTTAGGCGGCAATCAAGCCTCGTTTGTAACAAAAAGTGCCATCAGATAAAGCCAAAGCTGCCTGGGTTTTACAGGCAGTCCTTTTTTGGATTTTTTCTCCCTTCATTTCAAATTACACCATCACATTTTTCATCCTTCCTAATTGTAACTTACATCTAAGATATGAGGTGTGCTTATCTGTCAAATCTCCTTTGTTCAAACTTCAATCTTCTTTTCTTACTGGCACTGCACAGCCTTTAATCTTTAATTAATTATCACAATCTCATTGATTATCACAATTGATTTATTTGAAAAATTATTAATTAGCATTAGCAGCGAAAGGTTCAAAAAAATTTCTTGTATTTTATATTCTTTCATGCGGACTTCATTAAAATGAAGTAGGTGATGCGTAGTCTCATTCAAAATCTTTGAAGAGGTTGGTGATTGACTCTTGCTTGTTCTTATCTACACGTTTTATTTACCAAGGGAAAAAACAACAAGAGGGTGAAGTATCTCCTCCAGACGAGGCCAAAACCAGTGAATAAGACAAGGCCAGAGTTGCAGTGAGTTTGATGCTGGGGTCCGTTTCTCCCATAAACCAAGCTGAATCAAATATGGACAAATGTGATCATGAAACTCATACTCCATCACCATCAAACAGTACTTAGTATAATACAAAATTTGTGCTGGATTAAACTAGTTCTAGCCGTTGTAACCATGTTTCATCCTTTAACTATAGTAACAATTTAATAATCAACAGAAAAGAACTGTACTAACATGAGACAAAAGGCTTTGTTTTACTTCTTGGTAGGGATTATAAGTGGAAATCAACTCTCAGCTTACAAGCTAGTTTTTGTAGGGTTGAGTTAGAGTTAAATCTGCTATTCTAAGATAACCTTCATCTTACAAACTGGTTTTGTAGGGTTGAGTTAGGCTCAAATCTACTATTTTAAGAGGGATGAACATTGTTCAACCGAGTCAGATCCAAGGCGAATGTGGTCGGTCTTGACTTTAAACTTAGACTTTGTGTATAATTTAGGATGGGATCAAATTATGTTTTGGGTTATCCAATTCGATTTAAATATAAGTTTTTTTTTTTATGAATTATTCAATAAAAATCATTTAATTATTAATTATTTTATAACATGATATTATTATTTATAATATAAAATATATATAATAAAAAAATTCTAATATTATATATATATAGTAAAATACACCTTCCTACTCCTATATCTCTGTTTTTAATTACTCTTTGAAAGCAAAATAAAATATACCTTAAATTAAATTTTAAACTTTTTTATTATACAATTTAACTATATATAGTATTAAAATTAATATGGTGTAGCAAGGCAATTAACTAATTTTAGAGTTTTGGTTGGATTTTAAAAAATAGTCAAATTAAAAATTCAGGTTGGTTATGGACAAAAATAAGTCTAATCCAACCCGATTCATATTCACCCTTATTTCTTGTTTTAACCAAACTATTATTCTTCATAATAATATATTAAAAAAATTCATAATTTTTTCCTTTTCATATTCTCATACAAATTTTGTAGAAGTAGGATATAAAAGTAGGGGAAAAAAAAGAAAAATAAAAAGAAACATGAGAATGTTATTAATGAAATAGAAAATGTTTTAATATTATAAGAGTAAGTAATAAAAAAATAGTTAACATTTAAATAATATCAATAATTAAATACTTTTTTTACACCAGTCGTTAATTAAATACTTAAAATCATCTGTATGAAATAATATTATCAAAATTATAATATTTAATTTATACCATTTCTTCTTATATAATATAATAAATCTTATATTTTATCCTTAAATGACTTTGATTTTTTTTATATCAATTAACTAAATTAAAATAGATAGTGATAATGTTATATA